AGCAGGAGCGCCCTGATGTGCCAGGGGCTCGAAGCTCAGGAGCACTTCCAACAGAAACAGCATTAAGCACAGGGCTGGGTTTCGGGTTGGATGCCATAGGGGACTTGGATTCCCTCTGGAGTCTACATAGTTGCCAAGGGTGTTAATTATAAAGAACTAACCTAAGATTAAATTATGTTTCAGAGGAAAACAAAGCTTGAAAAACTATTCTTGGCATTAGTCCCTGAAGCTGCAGATGAATTAGACCCTGAAGCAAACAAACAAACAAAACAATAGAGCCTGGTCTCTGAGAGAAAAAACAAAAAAAAAAAAAGAGAAAGAAGTGAGAAAATGGGACAGAGAAAATGGGACAGGGGCTGGAAACAACCCATTTGGTCTCAAAGGACAAGCCGGCTGCAGGGATAACTGAGAGCCAGAAGGTGGTATATCAGGAACTGCATTCGTTTACAGAGATTTCAACTACTCAAGAAAGATGGTATCAGATAGAAAGGCAAAAATTAACAAGCTAAAAAAATGCTAAGCTGCCTTCATCTTCAGTATGCCCCAAAAAGGAGGAAAAAGGTTTTCAAACTTGATTTATATGATGTTAATACAAATCACAGTCCAGACCTCCTAAACTTGGCATGGATCATACATTAAACACACATTTCTCTGGTTCTACAGGACTCAAATGAACCTTCGTGCCAAATGTCAGCTTGGTAAGTTTGATAAAATCTTATGAAAAATGGCAGGCTTTCAGACCTCTGGGCTCTCTCTTTGCTTTGAAGGAGTATTACAAAAAGCAGTTTCAAAGTAAAGACAAGTGGTGCTATAAACCATCACTCAGTGCTATGGGAGCAGGTCAGAATGGCAGGTCAGAAGGGAACACTGGAGTCCAAGTTTCAGTAGAATGCTTAGCTTTGCAAAAGCAACTTCTGCTCACACTGTCCCCACATGCAGTTCACCTAGGAGAGAACTCTCTGGATTTTTTTTTCACAGCTTTCTGTTACATCTTAGGTACAAAGCTGAAACTAAAAAGGTCTTATAAAATAAGCTAACATTTGTCAAGAAGGCCATTTCGCATCACCTGGCTGTCATCCAGCCCCTCAGACTCATGCTAATTAAAGTTCCCATTGCTTGGAACAAAAAAGCCCACTCTAAGAAATTGATTCAGAGAACCAGAAGTAAACAATGGGTCTCGTACAGTTCTAAGATACTAGAAATGTCATAAACCTGGCAATGACAAATAATAGAGATACCTAAAAATGTTTTAGGTAATTTCAATACCTTAGAATTAATATTTTCAAGGTTAACTGAAGAAACTAGGAACCAATTTGTATATAAAATACAACTTCAGGGCTCATACCTGTAATCCCAGCACTCTGGGAGGCTGAGGCGGGTGGATCACTTGAGGCTAGGAGTTTAAGGCCAGCCTGGTCAATATGAGAAAACTCTGTCTCTACTAAAAATACAAATAAAATTAACTGGGCATGGTGGCGCATGCCTGTAATCCCAGCTACTCGGGAGGCTGAAGCACAAGAATCGCTTGAACCCAGCAGGCAGAGGTTGCAGGGAGCCAAGATTGTGCCACTGCACTGTTGCCTGGGCGACACAGTAAGACTGTCTCAAAAAAACAAACAAACAAAAAAAAACAATAAAAATTAGCCAGGAGTGGTGGTGGACGCCTGTAATCCCAGAGACTCCGGAGGCTGACGCAAGAGAATTGCTTGAACCTGGGAGGCAGAGGCTGCAGTGACCTCAGATTGTGCCACTGCACTTCAGCCTGGGCAAGAAAAACTCTGTCTCAAAAAAAAAAAAATTAAAACTTAAAAAAATACAACTTCACACACATACTGAAAGATAATATATCCAAGTATTAATAGTAGTTATATTATTATCAAGAGGGAATAGGTGGTTTTTATTTTCGTATACTTTGAAACCCACTTAGAATAGGAATATGCATACATTGTTGGCATAAACAAAAAAGCTGTTTTGCTTTCTTTAAAAGATCATTTTATAAAACACAGAAAATGTCAAAGGGGAAATAATTTTTAATATTCTCCTGTCTCTTCCTGGACTCAGAATGACATCGTCATCCACACATTTTCCCAAGCAATAACTGGGGTGTCATCCTGGGTCCTTTGCTGTTCCTTATTCCCCACACTCATCAATTTCAAGTCTGTCTCACAGCAATAACAACACTTCCAATTCTATCCCCATGGCCACCATCCTCATACAAGCCGGTAAGGTGGCCTCACTGTAACTGTCTTCAGGACAGTCCCTCCCCACCTCTCCACAACGAGGCTCTCCAGCCTCCATCTCCTCCTCTACTACACAGACTTCTCAAAGCAAGCCACACTACACACTAAGAATGCTTTTCACCTTCCCGCTAGTTGATTCTATCTATGGGGAAGGGATCTAAGATCCAAGGCAAGGCTTGCTGTCCATGTTGCTGTATTGATCAAAATACAATAAGCACTTCTAAGAGGAAGCTGAAAGAGACCTTTCTCATGATGAACAGGTTAGGTGCAAGCTGATTTATTCTGCCTCTCCTTACAATGTTCTCCAAAGGGTCAGAAACCGGGAGAAAACTATGTAGCACTGGTCCGAGGGAAGGCATTTCTTGTGATCTGTATAACCCTCAATCAATGAACATCTCTAAGACATGCCACTGGGGAATTCAAGGATGAATCCTCTGAAAGTACTGCTTACCAGATTAGACTTCTCACAAATTATCCCAGAACCACAAACAGCCACAACTACTACAAAGGGAGCCTGGCACAGGCAATGTAGGTGCCATCATGTCTCCTTGGGCTGCCACAGTCTGTGCTTGTTGAGTCTTGTGGCGGCAAAAGTAATCTTTTCAGAACACAGATCTGATCCTATCACTCCCCTGCTTACAACTCTGCCAGGACTCCCTGCCCTACATCCCCACAGCTGGCTCACAAGACCCCTCCTAATCTGGCTTTCCACCTGTCCCCCAACTCGAATGCTGAGACGTGGGAGGCACTTGCTCCCTCAGCTCTGCACCCACTGTTCCCTCTACTGTCAAGATCTTTCTCCCATCTGTCCAACCTGGGAAAGCCGACTGAAAAGGAAAATAAAAAAATCCTTCTCCCATTCGGCACCTCACTCTACCCCAACCCTTCACCCAGTCTACACAACTATCCTCAGGTCCCTCCTTCAAAGTCTCTCCCTCTGGGAAGTTTTCTCTGAGTGCCAATCACACTTCTCATCAGCTCCCAGGCCCTCGGGGGTACAGGGTCTCTCCTATGTGCTGCCGCAGTACCCTGGTAGCACTCCTCACAACGAATTGCAATTGCCTACCTTCTTGTTGGATTCCTAACAGTAATTCCTCAAGGCGAATGGCCGTACCCTAGACACTGTAATACTGCCAGCATACAGCACAGTTCCTGACACACAGTTGATGCAGTCTGTAATATTTATTAACAAATGAATACAAGGAAAGATGGGTAAGTTGATAGGAATATGAACGCAGTGTCTGTGAGTCCAGGGGAAAAGGAACGAATGGCAACTTAGGAAAACCAAAATGCTTCCTGTTTGAACAGGCTTCATTTCACTACAAACCAAATGAAATATCTCAAAGTGCTTCCAGCTACACATCAGTATCCCGAAACCGCACAGTCAACAGCAAGCAGCATGCTTTTTTTTTGAAAATACATGGCTGAGCAATTTTAAAAGGACCATGGTAGACAGGAAGAATTTTCATACCTGGAGGCTGATAATGGTTATGGAGAGTTCACCTCCCTCAAATTCTGATCTTCAGTGCCACTCACTCGACCCTCTTCTCAAATCTCAGATAAGGGAGACGTCTGCTGAGTATAAAGTAATCTAATGCCAACTTTATACTATGTGCTTTTCTGTTTATGAGATCATATTTCCTTATGTTTTGTTTCTACTATAAACTTTAAGGGAAGGGTAGGGAGCTTCTGGCTATTTAAGAATTATTTAAGGAGAGGAGGAAAAGATTTTTTTTTGCAAACTACATGCCATCCCTGATTAGGATGATCTATGATAACTTCTTTTTTTTTTTGAGACGGAGTTTCGCTCTTGTTACCCAGGCTGGAGTGCAATGGCGCAATCTCGGCTCACCGCAACCTCCGCCTCCTGGGTTCAGGCAATTCTCCTGCCTCAGCCTCCCGAGCAGCTGGGATTACAGGCACGCGCCACCATGCCCAGCTAATGTTTTGTATTTTTAGTAGAGACGGGGTTTCACCATTTTGACCAGGATGGTCTCGATCTCTTGACCTCGTGATCCACCCGCCTCAGCCTCCCAAAGTGCTGGGATTACAGGCGTGAGCTAACTTCTTTTATATGTAACTTACTTTTAAAAGAAACAAACTACAGTGAACGATGACTTGAAGAGTAAAAGACCTTTTAGAATTAGACCTTTGGATCAATAATAGCTGAAAGTTTAAGATTGTGAAATACTTGGAAACAAAAAATAAATGTAAATCAGAAGAATAAATACTAATTTCTAATGTCTATTTTAATATAATATTAAACGGTTTCCATAAAAGAATGTATGAGCATGAACTGACTGGCTCCAGAAAGCAAACTCAACCTACAAGTGAGTCTACTGTGTCTAATGTACACAGCCACCTGTAGACCCAAGTTCTTCAATACATCCAGTTGAAAAAGTATCTTGGGTTGGGCATGGTGGCTCATGCCTGTAATCCCAGCACTTTGGGAGGCCCAGGTGGGAGGATCACTTGAAGTCAGGAGTTTGAAACCAGCCTGGCCAACAGAGCAAAACCCCATCTCTACTAAAAATATAAAAATTAGCCAGGTGTGGTGGCACGCACCTGTAATCCCAGCTATAAGAGGCTGAAGTAGGAGAATCACTTGAACCCAGGAGGCAGAGACTGCAGTGAGCCGAGGCTGCAGCACTGCACTCCAGCCTGGGTGACAGCCAGACTTCGTCTCAAAAAACTAAATAAGTAATAAAAAGTATCTTTGCTTGTCCTATTTTTTCTGAAACTCCTCTATGTATTACTTACCGGAATGTAATAGATGCCCATCTTGGGGGTTTCATTGGCCGTAAGAAGCATGCCTAAAAAGAAACACAATGAAAAAGGTCAATGCATGGGAAAGGAAAGTGTCCTTTTCTATTTGCTTTCCATTCTGAAATGCCTGAGGAACTTCTGTTAGTCAGTGAACAAAGTAAAGTATTTCCCACAAAATGTCATAGCAAATTCCTAACTTTTGCATTAAACTGACTGCAAAACCAAGTGACTATATTTTGTTATGGTTTATACCAGAAAGGCCTAGAGGGACCCACAGGCCCCGACCACGGCATAGTCATTCCCTCATCAAGGATTCTAACAGACTGAACCAACAGGGTGGGTAATCACTGAGTCTCCCTGGGATCAGCATATAAGACAGCAAAACTGAAGAAAGGGATAACTTTCCGGCATTCACTAAAGGATTCTCTATAACCCCAGGGGCAACCTATAAATACATTATTATTTGGTATTAAACTCCTTAGTATCAAAGTATTCAAATGTCTCAGGTTGTTCCTTTTTCTCTGCCATTTTTGCAACATGCTCCTTCCCCAAGTGTTTTGAAGCAGCTCTAACACAGCAATAAGCAAATGCCAAAACTCCCTAGAACCCCTGCTCCGACTGCTGCGCTTTAAATAAAACTGAAACCAGAAAGTCTTTGGCCAGTCCTTCATAATAATCCAGGCACTTTCACATAGATTATCCTAGTGAGCATGCAACAACCCTCTAAATTAAGAAATATCATCAGCCCTATTTTATTGATCAGAAAAATAAAGCTGAAAGGGACTGATGTCCCAGTCATGACTGAGGGAATGTTAAAACTAAAGTCAAACTCAAGAACTCCTGTTTTTAAATAAAGATTTCTATAGATCAGCCAAATCATAATTCATTTTAAAAAATCTATTTGTAAGATACAATAAGAATCCACAGAGGGAAGACATTTAGATGATCAGATCGCATAATGATAAATTAATATACCAAACGTTAAGTGTAATGATTAGATTATATTTTGGAGATATTTTTTGCTGCCTTTCCTTTTGTTACACAAACGTTTGTAAACGTGATGATATTTGACTCTGTTACAGAAATGAAATGTTGCATGAATACAGTGAATTACCACTCAAGGAACTCAATGTTATCTTATCAAAACCATATCTTGCCCATAACAGGGCTAGTGTGAGCTACCCTTGAACTGGGACAAATAGGTCACCAAAAATACACACACACACACACACACACACACACACACACACACACACACACCCACCATGAAAACATCTAAAAAGCACCTAATGAAGTCTAAAAAAGCAAGAATAATGTCTGAAACCAAAACAAAATCAGCGTTATTTTTCATAGCTTGTAACCCCTGTAGACTCTTCCATCTCAGCACTTTTTCTGGCCTTGCAAACAATGTTCTCTGAGGTCATGATGGACAGAAACAGCCTCTACTGATTGTGCTTTCTATGTCTCTATTACAGCACTGCCGAAAGAGCTCTAGGAGCTCTTGGACATCATTAAAGAAGTTCTGGAGATAGAAGCCACATCTTTACAGCCAAAATGAAGGTTCCTACTAAAGACCTCTCCTAAGCCTTCTCCACTGGCTCAACCCTGAACACTCAACAGTGAACATTCCACAAGGAAATACACCACCACCTACCAAACCACAGAAAGGGCTCTAATTTAATTACACAAAAAAAACTCAGACTGGTCACAGCTAGATTGTTTTCTAAAATGGAGGAGGATCTTGCATAGCCACATGATGTTTTGGATAAAGGAATGACTATTACTATCTAGTAACTCCCAAGAGGTTAATCAAGAGTAGGAAAGGTAGCCAAATCATTTATTTCATAAGAAAGCAAGCAGCGCAGGACCAGTACGCGCCCCTTCTTTATGGCTCGGATCTGAGTATGGCAGATTCATGTGCTCTGCTTTTCCTTTCTTTCCCACACCTTTTCCTCCAGCTCTGCTCTTTGTGTCTTGCGCGTAATCATTGTGGGCTTAATCATATTTTAGAAAAGCTGAAACTGTCTTTTTTCTTTTCACTTACTCATTTTGGAGTAATTGAAGCATAATCATGATATGGTTTTGTAATTTTTTTTATACCAAGACTGCTCAGTATATTGGGAAATGGTTCCGCCTTCCTGCCTCGTTGTTGCTCATCGGCCACCTATACAGCACCTGTGCAGTGAGCAGTTGCTCCATGCAGGTCAAGGCACTTGGATAGACAGCACAGCTCTGTGACTTGGGTGTGCATCAGATTCATGACACAGGGAGCTTGTAAAGCTTACGTGTGTCTGAGTCCCACTCCAGACCTGTGAAATCAGGATTAGTGGTTTCAGAACCACTGGTAGAGAGAAAAGAAGGTGGGCACTGGGCTCAAGAAAGATCCAGTTCAGGCTTTAATAGTGGTGGAAATTATCCAACCTCAGCATTTTCACCTGCCTTACAGGGCTGTTGGAGACTGCCTCTGTTGGTAAAGGTGAAACAGCCTTTTATTCCCTGTCCGTGCCCTCTAAATACATGTGAAACCGTTGGGGTCATCTGTAAATATCTTTGGTGCCTCGTACAGTAAACTGAAATGGCCCATACTTTTATCTGAGATTCTATACAGGGCAGCAGCATCCCTGCCAGTCCCCTTTGGCACAGTTCTGTGTGCACAGCCTGTCTCCTCTGAGCTCTTCAAGGCAGTGACTGATACCATATGTCTTCATGCAGCGCTTCCCAACATGTTTGGTGAAGAACCAGGATTTTGGTTTTTTGTTTTGAAGTTTCTAATCTACTGCACATTGATATGTCTGTAAAATACAATACAAACGAATGACTAGGAAAACAATCACACGTTTACATGTCACTGCAGTGTTAATTGCAGGTTTCTAAATGCTGCTTTTCAGTTTCTGCACGTATTTCCTGGCGGGTAACAGTTTGCAGTCTGGACCTGGGGACACACTTGGAGCAGTTGTAGAGCACTATTTCTGATTCTGTGTTGTGAGCTTCAGTGAGCCCCGTAGTCCCCAGAGCACATGCAGATGAGTACTGACTCGTGCATGTTTCTGGGGAGGGCACTATTTTGTCAAATTCCCTTTGATTATATTATTACAGTATACAGTGTATACAGTATACTATACACTATAGAGTACTGGTTCATATTGGAAATATGTTCTTTTGACTCTAGGTGCTGATATCTTTTTCTTCCTTTAAAAATTGTAGTTTTGCAAGAAACCGTACTTTGTAATGAAGACATCCCTTAACAATGGGATCAACCTTACCTCTCTCAGATACTGCGATAATCCGCTATGATACAATCTGACATGAAGACCCAGCAGCCTGCACGCCACTCTTGCCCTAAATTTAATCTAAGCTTAATTAAGTTTTTAGACTTAACTTCTATTTTAGAAAAAATACAGGGTAGATAATCAATTTAAACAACATCATGAGGAAAAAAAAATTACATAAATCAAGGATGAGGGATATTCTATGAGACCACTGGCCTGATCTTTGAAAAGTCAGTATCATGGAGAAGACAAGAAAAAGATGTAGGAGACTATTCTGGATTGAAAGAAACCAGAAATGCAAAAGATATATAAAGATACACAAAGCTAAATTAACACACAACTTCAATTATATCCTGGTTCAAAAACAAACAGACCTATCTAAAAAAGGGCGTTTCAGGAACAATTAGGAAAACCTGAAAATGGACTGGATGTAAGATAGTATTAGAAAAGGGCTGCCATTTTTATTAGGCACGATAAGGGACCTGATAAATTTCAATGAATTTCAGATCAATGCAACGCTCAGTGCAGGTGAGTGCCACCATGTCTACAGCTGGCTTTCGAGTGATTCCACAAAGAAACCAGAACCACCACAGAAGCACATAGATAAATAAAGCAATTATGGTGAAGATCAACAATAACAAACATTGAGGAGAGGCTATAAAGATGTTTACTCTATCACTTTTTCAACTTTTCTGTAGGTTTGAAATTTTTTTTTTTTTTTTGAGATGGAGTCTCACTCTGTCCCCCAGGCTGGAGTATAGTGGCATGATCTTGGCTCATTGCAACCTCTGCCTCCTGGGTTCAAGGAATTCTCCTGCCTAAGCCTCCTGAGTAGCTGGGATTACAGGCGTGCGTCACCACGCTCTGCTAATTTTGTATTTTTAGTAGAGATGGGGTTTCACCATGTTGGCCAGACTGGTCTCGAATTCCTGACCTAAAGTTATCTGCACACCTCGACCTCCCAAAGTGCTTGGATAATAGGCATGAGCTACTGCACCTGGCCTGAAATTTTTCATAATTAAATACTGTGGATAAAGTGGCCTTTTTTGTTTCTATTAGTAATATGGACTAGGGGTCAGCACATTGTCTCTGTAAAGGGCCAGGTAGTAAACACTTTAGGCTTTGCAGGCCACCTGGTCACTGTTAAAACTACCCACCTCTGGATCACGAGGTCAAGAGATTGAGACCATCCTAGTCAACATGGTGAAATCCCGCCTCTACTAAAAATACAAAAAATTAGCTGGGCATGGCGGTGTGTGCCTGTAATCCCAGCTACTCAGGAGGCTGAGGCAGGAGAATTGCCTGAACCCAGGAGGCGGAGGTTGCGGTGAGCCGAGATCGCGCCATTGCACTCCAGCCTGGGTAACAAGAGCGAAACTCCGTCTCAAAAACAGACAAACAAACAAACAAAAAACTACCCACCTCTGCACAGTGCTACAAAAGCCACATGGACAATGTCTAAACGAACAAGGGAGGCTGTGTTCACATCAAACTTTATGCTGAAAGACACTGAAATCTGGATTTCAGTCACAAAAATTTGAATTTTCAAGCCATAAAATATTATTATTATTCTGATTTTTTCCCTCCCCAACGATTTAAAAATGTAAAACCCATTCTTTTTTTTTTTTTTTTTTTTTTTTTTTTTTTT